GTGTTGTTTCAAGGTAAAAAAAACATACAGACATGCTGATTAAGTTTATTTAAATTGGTAAGGAATTTTTTCATTTTCCAGGAAAACATTCTATTCAAAAAAATGGAATAAAATTGATGATTCTTAGTCTGCTGCAATTTAGGTTCAATTAATAGGTTTCTTTAAGGTATTTTGTGTTGTTTCAAGGTAAAAAAAACATACAGACATGCTGATTAAGTTTATTTAAATTGGTAGGGAATTTTTTCATTTTCCAGGAAAACAGTCTATTCAAAAAAATGGAATAAAATTGATGATTCTTAGTCTACTGCAATTTAGGTTCAATTGGTAGGTTTTTTTTTAAGGTTTTTTTTGTCGCTTCAAGGTAAAAAAAACATACAGATATGCTGATTAATTTTATCTGAATTGATAAGAAATTTTTTAATTTTCCAGGAAAACATTCTATTCAAAAAAATGAAATAAAATTGATGATTCTTAGTCTACTGCAATTTAGGTTCAATTGGTAGGTTTTTTTAAGGTATTTTGTGTTGTTTCGAGGTAAACAAAACGTAGAGACATGCTGATTAAGTTTATTTAAATTGGTAGGGAATTTTTTCATTTTCCAGGAAAACAGTCTATTCAAAAAAATGGAATAAAATTGATGATTCTTAGTCTACTGCAATTTAGGTTCAATTGGTAGGTTTTTTTGAAGGTATTTTGTGTTGTTTCAAGGTAAACAAAACATAGAGACATGCTGATTAATTTTATTTGAATTGGTAAGGAATTTTTTCATTTTCCAGGAAAACATTCTATTCAAAAAAATGGAATAAAATTGATGATTCTTAGTCTGCTGCAATTTAGGTTCAATTGGTAGGTTTTTTTAAGGTATTTTGTGTTGTTTCAAGGTAAAAAAAGCAAAGAGACATGCTGATTATTTTTATTTAAATTGGTAAGGAATTTTTTCATTTTCCAGGAAAACATTCTATTCAAAAAAATGGAATAAAATTGATGATTCTTAGTCTGCTGCAATTTAGGTTCAATTAATAGGTTTCTTTAAGGTATTTTGTGTTGTTGCAAGGTAAAAAAAACATACAGACATGCTGATTAAGTTTATTTAAATTGGTAAGGAATTTTTTCATTTTCCAGGAAAACAGTCTATTCAAAAAAATGGAATAAAATTGATGATTCTTAGTCTACTGCAGTTTAGGTTCAATTAATAGGTTTCGTTAAGGTATTTTGTGTTGTTTCAAGGTAAACAAAACGTAGAGACATGCTGATTAATTTTATTTAAATTGGTAAGGAATTTTTTCATTTTCCAGGAAAACATTCTATTCAAAAAAATGGAATAAAATTGATTCTACTGCAATTCAGGTTCAATTGGTAGGTTTTTTTAAGGTATTTTGTGTCGCTTCAAGGTAAAAAAAACATACAGACATGCTGATTAAGTTTATTTAAATTGGTAAGGAATTTTTTCATTTTCCAGGAAAACGTTCTATTCAAAAAAATGGAATGAAATTGATGATTCTTAGTCTGCTGCAATTTATGTTCAATTGGTAGATTTTTTTGAAGGTATTTTGTGTTGTTTCAAGGTAAACAAAACATAGAGACATGCTGATTAATTTTATTTAAATTGGTAAGGAATTTTTTCATTTTCCAGGAAAACATTCTATTCAAAAAAATGGAATAAAATTGATGATTCTTAGTCTGCTGCAATTTAGGTTCAATTAATAGGTTTCTTTAAGGTATTTTGTGTTGTTTCAAGGTAAAAAAAACATACAGACATGCTGATTAAGTTTATTTAAATTGGTAAGGAATTTTTTCATTTTCCAGGAAAACAGTCTATTCAAAAAAATGGAATAAAATTGATGATTCTTAGTCTACTGCAATTTAGGTTCAATTGGTAGGTTTTTTTGAAGGTATTTTGTGTTGTTTCAAGGTAAACAAAACATAGAGACATGCTGATTAATTTTATTTGAATTGGTAAGGAATTTTTTCATTTTCCAGGAAAACATTCTATTCAAAAAAATGGAATAAAATTGATGATTCTTAGTCTGCTGCAATTTAGGTTCAATTGGTAGGTTTTTTTAAGGTATTTTGTGTTGTTTCAAGGTAAAAAAAACATACAGACATGCTGATTAAGTTTATTTAAATTGGTAAGGAATTTTTTCATTTTCCAGGAAAACATTCTATTCAAAAAAATGGAATAAAATTGATGATTCTTAGTCTGCTGCAATTTAGGTTCAATTAATAGGTTTCTTTAAGGTATTTTGTGTTGTTTCAAGGTAAAAAAAACATACAGACATGCTGATTAAGTTTATTTAAATTGGTAGGGAATTTTTTCATTTTCCAGGAAAACAGTCTATTCAAAAAAATGGAATAAAATTGATGATTCTTAGTCTACTGCAATTTAGGTTCAATTGGTAGGTTTTTTTTTAAGGTTTTTTTTGTCGCTTCAAGGTAAAAAAAACATACAGATATGCTGATTAATTTTATCTGAATTGATAAGAAATTTTTTAATTTTCCAGGAAAACATTCTATTCAAAAAAATGAAATAAAATTGATGATTCTTAGTCTACTGCAATTTAGGTTCAATTGGTAGGTTTTTTTAAGGTATTTTGTGTTGTTTCGAGGTAAACAAAACGTAGAGACATGCTGATTAAGTTTATTTAAATTGGTAGGGAATTTTTTCATTTTCCAGGAAAACAGTCTATTCAAAAAAATGGAATAAAATTGATGATTCTTAGTCTACTGCAATTTAGGTTCAATTGGTAGGTTTTTTTGAAGGTATTTTGTGTTGTTTCAAGGTAAACAAAACATAGAGACATGCTGATTAATTTTATTTGAATTGGTAAGGAATTTTTTCATTTTCCAGGAAAACATTCTATTCAAAAAAATGGAATAAAATTGATGATTCTTAGTCTGCTGCAATTTAGGTTCAATTGGTAGGTTTTTTTAAGGTATTTTGTGTTGTTTCAAGGTAAAAAAAGCAAAGAGACATGCTGATTATTTTTATTTAAATTGGTAAGGAATTTTTTCATTTTCCAGGAAAACATTCTATTCAAAAAAATGGAATAAAATTGATGATTCTTAGTCTGCTGCAATTTAGGTTCAATTAATAGGTTTCTTTAAGGTATTTTGTGTTGTTGCAAGGTAAAAAAAACATACAGACATGCTGATTAAGTTTATTTAAATTGGTAAGGAATTTTTTCATTTTCCAGGAAAACAGTCTATTCAAAAAAATGGAATAAAATTGATGATTCTTAGTCTACTGCAGTTTAGGTTCAATTAATAGGTTTCGTTAAGGTATTTTGTGTTGTTTCAAGGTAAACAAAACGTAGAGACATGCTGATTAATTTTATTTAAATTGGTAAGGAATTTTTTCATTTTCCAGGAAAACATTCTATTCAAAAAAATGGAATAAAATTGATTCTACTGCAATTCAGGTTCAATTGGTAGGTTTTTTTAAGGTATTTTGTGTCGCTTCAAGGTAAAAAAAACATACAGACATGCTGATTAAGTTTATTTAAATTGGTAAGGAATTTTTTCATTTTCCAGGAAAACGTTCTATTCAAAAAAATGGAATGAAATTGATGATTCTTAGTCTGCTGCAATTTATGTTCAATTGGTAGATTTTTTTGAAGGTATTTTGTGTTGTTTCAAGGTAAACAAAACATAGAGACATGCTGATTAATTTTATTTAAATTGGTAAGGAATTTTTTCATTTTCCAGGAAAACATTCTATTCAAAAAAATGGAATAAAATTGATGATTCTTAGTCTGCTGCAATTTAGGTTCAATTAATAGGTTTCTTTAAGGTATTTTGTGTTGTTTCAAGGTAAAAAAAACATACAGACATGCTGATTAAGTTTATTTAAATTGGTAAGGAATTTTTTCATTTTCCAGGAAAACAGTCTATTCAAAAAAATGGAATAAAATTGATGATTCTTAGTCTACTGCAATTTAGGTTCAATTGGTAGGTTTTTTTGAAGGTATTTTGTGTTGTTTCAAGGTAAACAAAACATAGAGACATGCTGATTAATTTTATTTGAATTGGTAAGGAATTTTTTCATTTTCCAGGAAAACATTCTATTCAAAAAAATGGAATAAAATTGATGATTCTTAGTCTGCTGCAATTTAGGTTCAATTGGTAGGTTTTTTTAAGGTATTTTGTGTTGTTTCAAGGTAAAAAAAGCAAAGAGACATGCTGATTATTTTTATTTAAATTGGTAAGGAATTTTTTCATTTTCCAGGAAAACATTCTATTCAAAAAAATGAAATAAAATTGATGATTCTTAGTCTACTGCAATTTAGGTTCAATTGGTAGGTTTTTTAAGGTATTTTGTGTTGTTTCAAGGTAAAAAAACATACAGACATGCTGATTAAGTTTATTTAAATTGGTAAGGAATTTTTTCATTTTCCAGGAAAACATTCTATTCAAAAAAATGGAATAAAATTGATGATTCTTAGTCTACTGCAATTTAGGTTCAATTGGTAGATTTTTTTGAAGGTATTTTGTGTTGTTTCAAGGTAAAAAAACATACAGACATGCTGATTAAGTTTATTTAAATTGGTAAGGAATTTTTTCATTTTCCAGGAAAACATTCTATTCAAAAAAATGGAATAAAATTGATGATTCTTAGTCTACTGCAATTTAGGTTCAATTGGTATTTGTTTTTTAAGATTTTATATATATATATATATATATATATATATATATATTAAATATACACATATACACATTTTTTAGCTAGTAAATATGTATAATGAAAAATAAATAATTTATATAAAGTTTATTTTTATTATTTTTTATAATATATATTTAAAAGTTAATTTTCAAAAAATATAAGCCTCATTAGGCTTGTTCTAAAATTTAAAGAAATTATAATAATAATAACTTTTCATTAATCCAAAAATAATAACAATAACTGATAAGCGAAACACTGAATATTTCTTATCATAAATGCGTTCACAAAAGTTTGACGTAAGTATACTTACTAATATTAATAATAAAAAAGAAATGACGAATTTTGCAAAAATGGATTCTTTATAATTTTTTTTTTACAATAATCGGAACATGATTTAAATTTGCTTTTATGGAAAAAAAAATATTAAATTTTTTTTGACAATTTAGAAAGAATTTTCTGTAAATAAAATCAAATTTTAGTTTTTTAAAGTAATGTGTTACATTTGTTAATATTTTATTATATTATTATGTAACATTCTCCTGAATATTATATATGATTTTAACAATCATCACCGGTTATAAATCCTCTAAACAAAAATGTAATAAGTAAAGGAGTTGTTGTAGAATTTTCTTGCTTATTTTTTACAATATGTATTATTCCAATTAATGGTCCACAATGATTACCTTTTACTTCTTCTTCAAATGAAAAACTAATTGGGTACCTAATTTTGACTGTACCCTGAAAACAAAAAAAATTTTTTTTTTCAAATTTATAATTTAAAAACCTAACATAAACTCAAAAATTGCAATTGGTTGCGATTACCATTTCGTTAGTAAGACTATTTTTAGTAATTTGTATTAGTTACTGTTACGATTTAATTAGTCAGATTAAGCAGTTAGTTAGTTAGGTAACTAATTAAATAGTTATTCCAAGAAAGTAATTAGTTAGATTAACTAAAAATGGTAACCCCAGCCAATTTTTTCTCTCAGTGTATTTTTTGATTTTTTCAGCTTAGCCAAAAATTATTATTTTTTTTACAATTTTTCATAATGGAACATAATTCTATGTTTGAAAAAAGTTTGAAAAATATTGACATAATGTAAATTTTAATTTTCTTAAAAATTATTTTTATTTTTTACCTTTCTTATTGGACATTTATTAGCTTTTCCAAGTTTATTTAGAGTAAACTTTTTAACAGACTCTTTTATAGATCCTTTTTTTGTTTTATCACATATATTTTCAAATTCCAATGTTTCCACTTTTCCTGTTACTTCGTAAATCTTTGAGAAATAAACCTAAAAATACACAGAAAAAACCTAATATCAAATTGAGTACAAAATTTATACTCAATTTGATATTCTATGTTCTATGTCATTTAACATGAATTCATTTTGAGATGCAATAAATATGAGTCCAACTTTTTTCTGCGTGTACAAGTTTTTGAATATTTAATTTTTTTCTGTGAGCAAATATATTATTTTATTTATTGTAATAATAAAAAATAATAGTTATTAGTTATTTTTTTTAATTATATTTATTTATTTGATAAATTAGGTATTTCTTTTATAGCAATAAATTATAAAAACAAAATTTGCCTTCTTAACTCACTTTCAAATTATCTTGATTTTTTTCCCATATAATTTCTTGTTGGCCATTATTGTTTTTTACCATTACACCAGTGGCATTTCTTCCTTGAAATAAATGTCCTGAACTAAAAGAGATTTTTCGAGGAAAAGCAGCCTAAAATGAAGAATGTAATTAATTTTATATGTTTTTATTCTTTTTTTTAAATTTATCAAATTTTTAAAAATCCAAAATAATTTTTTCTTTTTGCAGTACTATCTATATAAAACTTACATTTGAAACAGCAATTAATGCAAAAAATGTACAAAATACTTTCAACATTGTCGTAAAGTTTAATTTTAATTTTGAAACTAAATACATTTTGTAGCTAACAACATGTTTTTATAGCATCTAACCGGTTGTAATTATTTTAAGTGTATAGATAAAACAACAAATTAATCACATGAACTGCTTTTGTTTGTTTATTTGTTTTTATATTCGTTATTTTTAAAGTTATGTTAAAGTTATATGATAAAAAATAAAATAAAAAAAAAAATATATATTTTTTTTAAATAATTTGAAACCTTATGATTATTATTATCACTTTGCCAGTTAATTTCCCTCTAAACTAGAGTTTCTATACCTCTAAACATGACAAACGTGAACCTTAAGAGATCAATTAGTTTATATCTCTCAAAAAAATGGGTAGTCCAGTGGTCAAGTGTTCCCGACTAGCAGTTTAAAAACAGAGGTTCAATCCCAGGTGGAGATGAGATTTTTCAAAGTCTACAAATATTTCAATTGGTTAAATATAAATAAAACGTTAAATTGATAATAAATAAATAATAAAATAAATAAACAAGATAAAATGAATAGAAATAAGGTAGAAAAAAATTTTTAATTTTACAAAAAAAGAAAACTTTTGGTTTGATCAACCAAACATTTTTGTTGACCTAACAAAAAAATTTGGTTGAGCTAACCAAATGTTTTTGTTATGCCAAGGCCAACAAAAAACACTCAACCAAATTTTTTGGTTGATTCAAACAAATAGTTTGGTTGCTTAAATACCCAACAAAATTTTTTTATCGGCCCAACTAAATTTTGGTTGCTCTGACAAAACATTTTTCTTAGTAGGGTCAGCTGGGGTAAATCCGAACGCTTTTAGTGAGTTTCAACAATAACATAAGTTTTTTCTTTTAAAAGACAATACTTCCGGTATTCTGGTGCATGAAGTTGTTACTTTACTTCCATAGAACAATTTTATGGGGTAGCAAAAATTTTTGATAAATTACAATCGCAGGAAACTTAGCGTTCGTATTTACCTCGATACTTTGCAACTTTCCTAAAATACCGGGGTAAATACGAACGCCACTGTATTTCAGAAAAATCTTAGGGAAAATAAATTTAAAGTATTGCAATTGTTAAACTTATATAAAAACTCAAAAAAAATATGATAATAAACCTATTATGTAATAATGCATCATATATAAATACAAAAATCAAACAGATTAAAAATTAAAATGCATTACACAATTAAAACCTTCAATAACTTTATCAAATCATAACGGATTTTTGCAAAACTTGGTACAGAAAGTATTTTGGAGTGATTGAATGTAAATACAAAAATAAAAGTCAAATTTTTTAAATTAAAAATGGCGGACTTTCCTAAAACTTATTTTTAAAAATGATCAAATTTGCTAACTCCAAATTCGTAATCAGCGACCCTGAAATCCCCCGAGTAACAATTTTCGAGCGAATCCAATGAATTTTTTAATTCTCGTCCGCCATATTGGATCCGCCATTTTGAATTTTAAAAAACTGACTTGAAGTTGGTAATCAGCGACCCCAAAAACCCTAGAATACCAAATTTTATTAAGATCCTGAAGAACTTTTTTCAACAAACCATTTGGCAAAAAAAGTGGAACACTCTTTCGAGAGAACAGAGATTAAGTTTCTGCTTATTAATTGCTAACGAGGATACATATAGAAAGAAAAACTTTTTTTTATGTACTTTTATAATGTTAAAATAATAGTGTAATCAAATAAAAACAATTTTGTGTGGCTCTGATATAAGAAAAAATTATTAAAAATACCGTTCGGATTTACCCCGGTTTTCCAATTTTCCGGGGTAAATACGAACGGTCTGATATTATTAATAAAATTTTACAGAAGGCAAAAATGAAAAATAGTTTCTGTTCTAGTATTCATAACAAACAATTATAAATAATAAAATGAATTTTTAGCTTCTTTTTCTTCAAATACGAGACAAAATATTCAAAGAGTGTCATCTTTGATTTTCAATCTTTTTTGCAATACTCGTTATCTTTGTTTATGCTGTTGCTAATTAACAAACGAAAAATAGGATAATACTTAGAATTTCTTGAAGAGGATCTGAGGTAAAAATTCTCATGTTTAACTTATTTTTTTAAATTTTAATTAAGCTGAAATAATTAGCGTTCGGATTTACCCGGGCTGACCCTATATTATTTTTTATACTATATTTATACTATATATTTTTCCCTCATCAAAATAGGTCTGTGGTTGGGTTCTACCCAGTTTGAAAAAAATGTAAATTAAATAAATTTTAAAGATTACTTTTTATAAATTCCAAATGAATTTAAGTTAAATTTGAAAATTGTTATTGAAAATTAAAGAGAATCATTTCATACAAGTGTTTGATTTATAAATATTATATTATGTTTCGAAAAAAAATTTAATTCATATATTTTTTTTGTTTAAAGTTCTTTTTCTGGCATGTAAAAATGATTTATATTTTTGTTTATAATATTAATAATAATAATAATAATTATTATTATTATTATTAGTATTACTAATATTTTATTTGAAATATGTCTAAGGGATTTTGAAATTATCTGTATGCCTGCGCACCCCGAGCTGTATGTTTACATTGATGTATATAAACGGCACCTAAGCCGAAGGTCATAACAAGAAAATCCCAAACATAATTCAATCAGTTGCAATTCGTGTATCGACCTGTTTAGACGTGATCAATGTGAATGAAAATTTAGAAGCAAAATTTGTGTTAAACATATATATTTCCTTTATTATTTTTTATTTTTTTTTCGGGAGTGTTAGATTTTTTTAAATCGCAATCGTTTAAATCTTAAAAAAAGTATTTTGTTTGTTTTATTGTGTTTGAAAAAAAGTTTTTTTTGGTCATTTTGGTAAAATTTTTTTTTTGTTTCGGGAGTGTTCGATATTTTTTAAATTGCGATCGTTTCAATTAAAAAAAAAAAAAGTATTTTGTTTGTAAATTTAAAAAATGGTTTAAGAAGTGTTTAGAATTTTTTAAATCACGGAGTGTTTCTGCCATGTCTTATAGTCTACAATATCTGATACATCGCAGACTATAAGGTTAGAGATACATTTTTATAAATCATAATAACATAAAAATGTGTTTTTTTAATGAATAAAATTTAAAAATAAAACATTGATTTTGTTTTTTATTTTTTTGACAAAAAAGTTGGTACTACTTTAAAAAAACGAAGCTGAAGTACGCAACGTTTATGATAAACGATTTTTAAAGAAATAATTTTTTAAAATGAAAAATTCTATAATTTTTCACCTAAAAAATATTTCTTGTAGTTTTCATTAATCAACAAATTATAAAAAAAAATTTTTTTAGGCAAAAAATTATAGAATTTTTCATTTTAAAAAAATTATTTCTTTAAAAATCGCTTATCATAAACGTTGCGTACTTCAGCTTCGTTTAAAAAACACAAAATTATCATCTTATTGTAGTATTTTTAGGGCACATGAATATGGCAAAAATTAAATTAGATATAGAATTTTCATTTCAAAGAATTTTATAATAATTGAATTTTCTTTTAGCTAAATTTTATTTTTTCTAAATATCATTTGAAAAATTTTTATTATTAAACAAATATTTATTAATTGGAGGCAACATCTTTATTCTGACCCCTTTAAATTTTTAATGATCGCACAATATTATATTTTTTTTGTTGCATCATTTGAATCTTAAAAAAATATACAAGGTAATCAAAAAAAAAATCTTTAATTTTTAACATATATTATTCAAAATTGACAATATTTTGTTCAAAAATTTTTACAGCCTACAATTTTCAACAAAATTAAAAAAAAATTGTTTTTAAATTAAAATATAAGAAATTTAGAACAAATATGACACTTTTGATTTTTAAATAACAATCTTGATAAGTTATTATTAACGTTAAAAATTAATAAAAAAAAATCGAAAGGACCTTATTTACCTATTTATTGTTACGCTTTTATTTATATTTGCTCAAAATTTGTTACTAGGGAGGGGGGGGGTTAGGGATCGTTGATTACGAATTTAATATCAGATTTTGAAAATTCAAAATGGCGGATCCAATATGGTGTACGAAAAAAATAAAAATCAACGAGATTTGTTTAAAACTTGTTACTCGGGGGTTTTTGGGGTCGCTGATTACGAATTCGATGTTCATTTACAACTCCTGACAAAATGTGAAATATTGGTATAAAAAATACTAAATCTCAGAAAAGAGTTTGTAGAATTATTAAAATTCGTAAATATTTACTGCTATTTAAAAAACATGTATTAAAAATTGAAATATATTTTGTACTTTTTATGATCAATATTTCCTGTTTTGACACTTTTTTCCTAAATTGAAAAATACTTACAAAAATTTCTACTAATTGAAATTTAATAAATGGGGCGAAATTTCTTAAGCGATCTAATTGGCAATTGTATTTTTTGAAAAATCATAACTATTGTATAAAATAATGAAAAAAATTTCAAAAAATTCGAAATTTGTCCCTTTTTTTGTATCGCTCCTAAATTTTCTCAACGGATTTCACTTCCTTACAGTTTTAAAAGTAGACGGACCGGAGTGGTTAGAATATTTTTTATTTCTCAAAAATACCCATGTGCGAAATGCCAAGATTGCCAATATGGCGCCCAACATTGACCCAGTAATGTCTGCGGAAGTACGGTAAACGTTACTGGACCAGTACTGGCGATCAATTCGTCCCATTATTGGGCCAATATTGGCACCGATTCTTCCCTCACAACAAAAGGATATCCTGAGGATATCTTCAGGATATCCTAAACTAATGTAGGATATCCTGAAAACGTCCATAGGATATCCTAGGATATCCTGAGGATATCTTCAGAACATCCAAACCGCCGTTACGTAGGATATTTTTGGGATATCCTGGGGATATACTGAGGATATCCTGGGATATCCTGAGGATATTCTAGGGATATCCTAGTGATATCGGGGGGATATTCTGAGGATAAACTTGGTATATCGTTAAAATATTTTAGAAATATCGCTAAGATCTCCCTAGGATATCATTATGATTCAAATTTTGACTATTTGAGATAGCGATTTTTTGATACAAATAGTTAGCGCTTGAGTTGGTTTCAAGAGATTTTTTAAAGAAAAAGTAGAAAAAAGAATTCTTGTAGAAAAGGT